GCGCGAGCGACCCTTCTCACGGGAGCCCCGCGCGGGCCCTCAATGCCGAGGCCGCTCCTGGGACAGCCCGGCTGCTTGTGCCTGCGTTCCCCGCCCCCTGGGATGAGACCCCAGGGGCTCAACACACCCCGCAGGAGGGCCCAGGGACTCGCTGTCCTCCATCTGTAGAGAGAGGCCTGGGCTAGGCAGGCAGGACCACGCCTGTGCCCAAGGTAACCCACTGTCCGGCAAGTCTGTACCTACTGAGCCAGCTCCCGATTAGTAACTGACCGAAGAGAGGTCTTCCAGGTGTTCTTGGCCTGGATTGCCTGCATGGGGTCGTGCAATGAAGAAGGCGTGCCCTTCCCTGCAGAATGGGGAAACAATCGCTCCGAATGGGTGTAATAGTTACGTTTGTTCACACAAAAGCTGCTGGCTCCAAGTGCTCGGGGAAACCAGCATATAAAAACTCCTGGTCACAGGACTCACGGAGGAAGGAGGTGTTAGGGAGCAAATAACATTCAGCAAAGGAAGGTACCCAGTGTCCTCAATGGAGGAGGCAAGGGTGAAGTGGGAGAGAAAAAGAACGTGAGATTCCTTGTTCGCTTAATCGGGAAGCTTTACAAGTTCTCTTTTTAACATGAAAAATCAGATCAAAGGGTAGGCACAAAACCTGGCTACTGCCTGAAACGTCCCTAAGCTCCTCTTCTACAAACTTATTCTCAAATTAGAACATTGCATTTTCATAACTAACATGATGTCCCATTCTTTCTCAACGACCTTTCACGCTAGAATTTTCCCAGCTCAGCTGTGCACAGGACTTCCTGAAGAGCCACACACAGACCGAGGCCCTTCACCTTGCCCACATTAAAATTCCACTAGACTGCAACCACTTGGCCCTGGGGGGGACCACATCCCGATGGAGCGGACGCGGCCCTGCTGAACCGGCTCTGCGCCTCCTCAGAGGTCTGCCTGGAGTGGCCCTTGCTTCAGAGCCTGGTCGTTCACATGCACCTTCCTTCCTCCCAGAGTTCTGGTCACAACTCCATGCTGCGTATGCGTTTCTGTGTCTGCATTGTATCTGGTCATCTCTCTAGAGAGACTGCTGAATCCGAATGATCTAAATCTGCCCGAGTCAGGCAGGGAGGAAACAGAGATGGAGAATTTCACTCATGCTGGTTAGAAAAGACCACAAAGTGCCCGCAAGCATTATGCTCTGCTTAATCCATACACAGCACGCGCAGCATCAGATCCCTCTGCCTCCACTTTGTGTCCCCCACTCATCTCTTCAGTGCTGACTGCACTCCACAGATAAGCAAGCAGGTGTCCAAGGTGCAGCGGTAACTGTGCTGAGCCAACGTGGAGTTAAACAGAAGAGGGCAGGGAGGCCTGTTTCCCTCCTTCCTGCTCTGGGTCTTCCTTGTCCCCTTGGCCAAAATCCACCCTCCACGAGCTCTTATCCAAAGGAGGAGGACAAAAACAAAGGGTTGAGGACACACATGGTGTGTGTGTGGGCCCCATGGTCCTGCTGCTCAGCCTCCAGTTCCCTGTCCATTGCATTTGGGGCCTGGTGGCCTCATAACTGTCCCCTTCCACAGGGCTCCTCCACTTGCCCTGTTACACTGCTGTGTCCCTCAGGATGCAGATGAGTTCTGCTGAATTTCTTAGGCTACACTCTGCTTCACACAGCTCATCTTGCAAACGTTCCTCTCTTGTAGGGAATTGAGCCTCAGCATCACCAAGCATTTTGACCATTTTGTTTAGTGCAGACCCCACCTGTGCATGACGTTGGGTGAGCTTCAGAATCATGGCCCACAGAATCCTGGAATCACGTGTGCTGCTGCAAATACGCAGGGTCCCTGCACCTTGCCTGTGCCACCCTCCTGACATCTTCTTCCTCACCTGAGCCAGTCTGAATCTGCTCCACACATATTCCTAACCACACAACATCTGGAATGACAGCTACGGGGTTCTGAGTCACAGAATTAGACTCATCTAGGAGACAGAAAAGCTAAGCAAAAGAGGTAAGAAACTTGTGAGGAAGGGGAAAGAAGAGGAGTAGGGTGGGTAGGTCTTCACATCTGCATCCAAGAAATGGACCAGATAATTAGGGTACCGAATCACAAAGCTTCAGCGAGCACTTGTCCTCCAAGAATGTGGTCAGCAAGTGGTATCAGTAGATACAAAAGCATGAACGAAGCAGGGAGGCATAGCAGGCCAGAGATCCAGATTGTTCACACATTTATAGTTTCTTCTTGTTGGTGGATATTTTTGTTGTGCATTTTATAAACTTGTTTTCTTGGGGTCAACTCAGAATAGAGCTTGCCTGTTATAATTGACCTTTCCTGCTCAGATGAAGGGTTAGAGGAGGTAGTTTGTGTTACTGGTTGTGAATAAGGGCTAGTTTTGCTGGGTCAGTCTACACTGTGGTATGTTTAAAGCCTTTTAAGAGTTTTCAATTGTTCCACTTCCCAAAGCAGTAGTAAGTAGCATATATCTTTGTCATGTGGCAGGGTCTCTGTCATTGAGAAGCTTGCCCTATGCAATGCAAGGACTAATTCATTAGAATCAGTTTTCCTAAATGGATCAGGGCTAGTTCAATATCCCAGTATATCAGCAAAAATAACTGTGGAGGGCTGGAAGTGTAACTCAATGGTACAAAGAACACTTGCTTAACATGTGCAAGGCCCAGATCGATCCCCAGGGGTGAAATCTATGGGTGATGCTTTAGAAACTCTTACTACTTTAAACACTACAACCACTTATCAATTATCGGTGAATAGTGAAGCAAAATCTTCAGATAAATTTCAGTTACCATTTTCAACTATAACTTCAATATCTCCTTCTAAACAACCTAATACACAAAAATATTAACACAGAATTTGGGGCAAATTATAGTTGTGTGCATAATTTATACACTGACTTAGTAATTAGGTAAGTAGAATGTTATAACAGAAATTATACCCCAATATAATCACAATTGCAATTCCAACTTTGTTGACTGGCTGGGTTAATTTTAGGCAATTCTCTAAAAATTTCTGACTATCCATCTCATAATCTATAAAAATGAACATACAGTAAAAGACTTCTACCTTGAAAACCACAGAACTCTGAAAAAGAGATTGAAGACTATATCAGAAAATGGAAAACATCCCTTGCTCCTTGGTAGGAAGAACCAATAGAGTAAAAAAGGTCATACTTCCAAAACTGCTATATAGATTCAATACAATCCCAATTGAAATCCCAACAGTATATTACACAGAACTAGAGAAAACAATCCAAAAATTCCTTTAGAACCAAAGGAAACCTAGAATAGCAAAAGCAAATCCAGGCAACAAAGACATGACAGGGGTATCACAATCCCCAATGTGAAACTATACTACAAAGCCACTGTGATAAAAACAGTATGGTACTGGCAAAGAAACAAACCTGAGGATCAGTGAAATAGATTAGAATATGCAGACACATCTCCATACATACTCAGTCACATCATCTTTGACAAAGGAACCAACCACTCTTACTGGAGGAAAGATAGCCTGGAAATAATAATAAAATGGAAATAATAAATAAATGGTGCAGAAAACTATTTCAACCTGCCACAGACTAAAACTAGGATCATATCTTTCACTGTGAACTAAACTAAAACCCAAGTGGATGAAAGATTTAAACATTAAAACAAACACTAAACTTGCTGGAAGATAAGTTAGGCAGAATTCTCAAGCACAATGACATAGGGAAAGACTTTATGAACAAAACCTCAGTAACACATGAACTAGCACAGAGAATCAATAATTGGGATCTCATCTTTTTAAAAAGCTTCTGCACTGCAAGACAAACTAACAGAGCTAAAAGACAACCTACAATGTGGGAAAAAAATTTACTAGCTATTCCTCAAACGACTACTATCTAGAATATATAAAGAACTTTTAAAAATCAGACCTCCCAAATTTAAAGACCCAATTCAAAAATGGGCATCTAAAATGAACAGACACTTCTCAGACAAAGAAGTAAAAGCAGCAAAGAATCATATGAAAAAATATTCCACATCACTGGTCATTAGAGAGGTGCAGATGAAAACAACACTGAGATTCCACCTCACCCCAGAAAGAATGGCTACCATCAAGAAATCAACCAATAACAAATGCTGGCTGGGCTGTGGGGAGAAAAGAAGCATTCTCCATTGTTGGTGGGAGTGCAGACTGGTGCAACCACCATGGAAATCAATATGGAGATATCTCAAAGAACTAGGACAAGAGGTTCCATTTGACCCAGCTATCCCTCTGCTGCGTATCTTTTCAAAGGAATTAAAAGAATCATACCACAGTGATAGATGCACACCCATGTTTATAGTGGCACACTTTGTAATAGCTAAAACTTGGTAACAGCCCAATTGCCCATTGACTGGAGACTGAATAAGGAATATGTTTTTTTTTTAAATAAAATGGAGTACTACTCAGCCATAGAGAATTAGAAACTAGAGTCATTTATAGCTAATTGGCTATGCTTTTAAGTATAACCATACTTGAGGCCATACTCAAGTGAAATAAATAGGATGCACACATATAAATACTGAATAGTTTCTCTGGTGTGAGAAATGGAAAGTGTAGATAAGAATCAAAATACATAACAGATAATGTGAAATAGAAAGAAAAGGTTTTAAGGGGAAGAAGAGTGGGAGGGGTAGGGAAAAGAAAAGAAGGGAAAGGAAAAACTATGAGGAAAGGGAAAAATGGAAACAAAGTCTTTGTAAATAGGGAGGGGTGGAAGGGTTAAAGGGAGGCCAGGGGACTGGGGAAAAAATAAGAACTAAAATATATCATTTAAAGGTACAAATTCCCAATGATGAATGTCATCATATTGTATACCTAAAGTATACCAAAAAACATAATAGAAAAAAGAGCACAATAGTATATATTTTTCAGGACATACACAGATTAGCAATAATACATATGTAGACTTTGTCATAAAAAAGTTTAAAATACTGATTTTGCCTTGGACATTATGAAGTGGCTAATATTAAAATTAACTTTCTCAGACGATAAAATATTGGACAATGGCCCATCTAAGACTCTGATCCTTTGGGGAAAGAAACACATGAGAAGTGAAACACATTAGCTGAGTCTCATGTTGTGGCACCATGCCTGCCTCACAAGTGTAAGGTCCTGAGTTCAATCCCTGGAGCGGGGGAGAAAATTGAATGCCTTTAGGAGTAAGATATTTTATCCAGAATTTCTTTAACCTATGTCTATTAGATCCAGCAATTATTCATAAATTGCTACAGAAGGAAAAAGAAAAAAATGTGCAATAATCTATAACAGGGATTAGCAAAATTTTTTCTGAAAATGTTAAGTAAATTTCTAGGCTTTGTAATCCA